ATTGCCGCAAGAGATGGGGAGGTGTGGGGAGGTGTGGGGAGGTGTGGGGAGGTGTGGGGAGGTGTGGGGAGGTGTGGGGAGGTGGTGGGGAGGTGTGGGGAGGTGTGGGGAGGTGTGGGGAGGTGTGGGGAGGTGTGGGGAGGTGGGGGGAGAGATGGGGAGGTGGGGGGAGGTGGGGGGAGGTGTGGGGAGGTGCGGGGAGGTGGGGGGAGGTGCGGGGAGGTGTGGGGAGGTGCGGGGAGGTGGGGGGAGGTGGGGGGAGGTGGGGGGATGCGGGGGGCGTCCATGCGCTACTGCAGGAATCAACTAGGGAATCCACTGGAACAATCAACTAAGGAGTCTGCGCATTCATAGCACCTCGCGGGTCTGGCAAGAGCACATGTACATGTCCGCATCTAGCTGCGGCGGACGAGTTCATGAGCATGAAGGCGAGCGGCACGCCGGTGGCGGAGCGCATCTGCTCCACCTGCAGCACGAGATTGCACGAGATTGCACGAGATTGCACGAGATTGCACGAGATGTGGCGGAGCGCATCTGCTCCACCTGCAGCACGAGAGAAGGGCTGGCGGAGGTCTGGCGGAGGTCTAGCCGAGATCTGGCCGAGATCTAGCCGAGGTGTGGCGGAGATCTAGCCGAGGTGTGGCGGAGGTGTGGCCGAGGTGTGGCCGAGGTGTGCGCTGGCCTGCAGCGGGAGCGCGATCTCGTGCGATCTCGTGCGATCTCGTGCAATCTCGTGCACTCTGCAGCCTGCAGCGCGATGAAGTCGAGGAAGTTTCGCCCCTCCTTGAGGTCGAGCAGCGACTTTGCCTTCTCGAGGCCCATGCCGGTGCCGAGGCCGCCTGTTGTGCGCAAGTGGACTGGGTCTACCAACCAGTACTACACACTCAGAATCATACTACGGCTGAGAACAGTGCGCAAGTGGACTGGGTCTACCAACCAGTACTACACACTCAGAATCATACTACGGCTGAGAACAGTGAGACTACTGTTCAATGATAGCAGGGTCGCAGTGTCGTCGGAGGGCGCCCGGGTCGCCCCGGGGCGGGGAGGTGGGTGGAGGGCGGGCACCACAGTTGTACTGAGAATGGGACCGATCATTGAACGGGTGGGAAGTCGAATACGAGGCCGCCGTTCAGCTTGACCATCACCGTCGACTTGAGCAGCGCCGGGTCCTGCGGCGAGGTGTGGGGAGGTGTGGGGAGGTGTGGCGAGGTGTGGCGAGATATGGGGAGATGTGGGAGATATGGGGAGACTGGGAGATACGGGGAGTTTAGCAGGAGGCGGGTCCGGCAAGGCGGATGGTGGACGCTCTCGAGGCAAGGTGGAGGGTGGAGGTGCCTCGAGCGCGCGCTGCGGGCAGTGGCTGGTTGGAGCGGCCCTCACAGCCACCACGGTGAGAGAGTGTGTGGCGCAGCAGGCGTCGGTCGGAGGCGTCGGCACCTCCGTGGTGAGCGAGGCGTAGTCGGGCAGCGACTCGACCGGCTGGATGCTCTCGCCCGGAATCATCAGGTTGGCGCCTGGGAGAGCGAGCGTGCGAGGGAATGAGCGGAGTTGCAGCGAGCGAGACAGGCGGGACAGCGGCCGGAGGGAGAGTTTGGCAAAGAGACGGAGAGAGAGAGAGAGAGAGAGCAAAGCGAGAGGCGACCCCGGAGATAAGTGAGGAGAGAGGAGCAGAGACGGAGAGGTCGTGCAGCAGCAACAGTGAGTGGGTAGCAGGCACGCACCGCTGGTGAGCATCTTGAAGTTGTACTTGAAGGCGGCGATTGCGGCGTTCGAGAGGCCCTCGGCGCGCATCTTTTCCTCGTAGGCGGGCCACGAGGCGTCGAAGGGGCTTTCGCCGAAGAGGTACGAGTAAACAGCGCCCATGGGAGCTCAGAGTGTGGAGAATCCCGCGGAGGCGCTATGAGAATCGGCTTTGGGCGCCAGGAGATGCCGGCACAGCGCTTGGAGAAAAGAATTCTTTTTTCGAGCGAGCCTTTGTTGGACATGGTATCGCTCTCGGCCGCGTGCAAACCAGAAAAATTGAGCTGGGCTAGGGTTGCGCAGCTATGAACAGGAGCGAGTTCGCGCTGCGCTAGCTAGGCTCAGACGGCGTGTTCGCGCTGCGCTAGGCTCAGTACGGCGAGTTCGCGCTCTGCACCGCTACTCCGCTAGCGGCAGGCTCTCTTGCGGAGATTTATCTCTCGGCTGCGTTGGCTCGCCAAAGTCTTTGTTCTCGATGGCGCTGGGTCCGCTGACTGGGGCGGGCGTGGGTGTGCGTGTTTTGTAGAGAAGCAAAAGGCACGTCGTCCGGGTTCTGTCGTGTGCGTCGAGCGTGCGGGCGGAGAGGCGAGGCTGAGCCTGTGGCGAGAGCTAAGACAGAGCAGTGCGAGAGTTACACACGACACACACGACACGACAGGGACACAGACACAGACACAGACACACACTGCGCTCCCCTCAGCGGGTAGGGAGACGCGAACCCGACGGAGTCCGGTGGTGGGGGCCCACGCAGCCAGCCCCTGCGTTGCAAAGGTTGGTGCTGAGCCGCCGCCGCCGCTCCCGCCCGCGTGTGTGTGTCACACCCCGCCCGCGCCGAGCCAAAGGAGCTCCGCGGAGCCGCCAGGCGCCCGCCCCGGCGATTCGCTCGCTACGCGTCGCTCACCGCCGGGGCGGGCGCCTGGCGGCGCCGCTGCGCAAAAATCGCGACGTTCCCGCCGGGGAAGTTTCCCGGCACACTGCAGGTGTGGCTTGTCACCCGCCGCGCCCTCGCCCGGCCGCCTCACTGCGCACGTCGCTCGACGGGAGCCTGCCCAGCATGCTCTCGGCACTCTGTACAGCCTCGCCAAGCTGTCTGGGAAGGCCTACCTACAAGGCCAGGCGGGCCGTCTCGGGCGCGATGGCGCGCTGAATGCTACCATGACTACGAGCTCTCGATCGGGTCGTCGGCAGCGGGCTTGCGCGGCGCGCTGCTCGACGGCAGGCTGCTCCCCACCCTCTCGTTGGTAAAATTCTTCCGTGTCGTGAAGGCCGTCCCTCGCAATCGTGTCAATCAGACGCCTCGTGGCTTGCCCTTCTACCCTGTTCTACCACTGTTGCCTATCGCTATGTCTTCCGCGGTGGGGTACTCCGCCATCGAAGCAGCTCCGAACCGTCGCCTCCAGCTCTTGCAGCAGCTAACTGCTGCCGCCGCCCTCCTCCTCCTCGGCGTTGCACTGGATCGGACACTCTTTTGGGGCCCACCGAGGCGGGCCCTCCGACCTCTTCCTCCCAAAGCTCCCCTCATTGCCACTCTCCATTGCTCTCCTCCCCTCCCTCGGCAGCCTAGTTGTGTGGCCCGAAGACTACATGCCAAAGTGCCGGGACGGCGAGGCGCTCCGAGTGCCGCTGGAGAAGGCGTGCGCACGCGTTGAGGCGGCGGCCGGCAAAGAAGCGGGCGCGCGGAGGCGCCTTACCGGCGTCGCCACCGCCTACTCGTGTCTGCCTCACTACCGCATCCCAGTCACGGGCACCGACGGCCGAGTCACGTTTCCGTATCACTCGGAGACGCTGCTGTCGGAGGGTGACGAGCGCGCGACGATGGCGCTTGTCGTGCTGCATGGCGCCTACCGCGATGCCGACAGCTACTTCTGTGCCATGTGTGGCGGCCGGCCCTCGTCGACTGAGCGCCACAGCCCCGGCGCTCACACCGGCCTGTGGTGAAAGGTATGACATCCAGCATGAGCAAGGCTACCGCAGTGCGGGCGAGGTGCGCGCATCGCCCAGTGGGAGGGGCTGGGAGGGAGCGGGCTCTTCATCACCCAAGACCAGCAGGTGCTCGTCCTCGCGCCGGATTTCAACTATCGGAAAGACTTTGGCGTCAAGCCCGGCATCGCCCATCGCACCACTCCGCCCGCGGATGGCGGATTGCCTGCCCACCACCACAACCGATGGTGACCCTGCAGGCGACGCCTTCTGGAACACTTCTCGGCCGAGCGGCGATTGGCGCGCGGGCGCGCCCTCGTCGCCGGAGAGCGGGCATGGCAGGACAGTCTCGTCATTTGCGGCGGGCCAGCCCGCCTCTCGCTGGAACTGCCAAACAGACCATTCACTGGTCTCGCCTCTTGGGCCGCAGGTGATGGACACCTTCGTCAAGCTGCTGAGCGACGAGCGGCTCTTTCCAAAGCTGGAGGCCATTACTCTGCTCGGCCATTCCGCGGGAGGCCAGTTCGTGCAGCGTTACGCGCTCATGACCGTCCTCCCCACGGCGCCCCGTGCGGGGCTTTCCGTGCGCTACGTCATCGCGAACCCATCGTCGTTCGCCTACCTGGACGCTTCACGGCCAGTCTACTCATGCGGCAAGTATGCCGCCCATTCTGGCGTAGCGCCGCTACCGCCCTCCACAGCCGCACGCTCCTCGGAGCCTCGTAGGTGCCTTTGCAACTACCGCGGCTGCACCTGCTCCGACTCCTGCTCGCCCACCGCTGCCATACGCGAAGGAGCCCTCCCCTTCAAGGCGCCCGGCCCGAGGCGCCCATGACGCCGCCCCATCCCCAGGTGCGCGCGTGCGTGGAGTGCGTGCCTCTCCCACGCTCCAGGTGCCGCACCGGGGATTCTCCGCCGACGAGCCTGGAGCCTTTGTTTGCGGCGACGAAGCGTACAACGCGTGGCCGTACGGATTGGATGGCTGGGTGGGGGGTGCCACGGTCAATCAGTCAATCGCCATCTACCCCGAGCGCGACGTCTCGTACCTCAACGGCCAGAACGATACCTGCAACGACGGTCTGCCAGAGTGTGACTCCGAGTGCTGGCAGAGGGATAACGAGGAGTCGCCGTGCTTCCGCAACCGGATGGACACGCGCTGCCCGGCGATGCTCACCGGGCCGTGGAGAAGGGCGCGCGGCGCGGCCTACATGGCCTTCCTGCGCAAGTTTTACGGCGCCCCGAGTTTGCATCGCCCGCAGCTCTGCTCGCCCTGCCCTCCGCACGGTGCTAGCCACGTCGTGCTATAGGCCGGCCCATTCACCGGCACTACGTGGTCCCCGGCGCCGGCCACGACGCGATGGCCGTCTTCGAGTCGGCGGCGGCGCTCTCACGGGTCTTTGGCAGCGGTGGCAACGGGAGCGGCAGAGAGGAGATATTGGAAGCCCGGGCGCTGTCTGGGCCGCGCGTGCGGCGCCGCTACCCAAAGATAGCGGCGGCGCTCGCCTCGGAGCCGGGCGATGATCTTGAGGAGGAGCTTGAGAGGGGGATGGAAAGGTGACGCATGGGGGCGTATTTCTTCTTCCTGAGACCGCTTGATTGGGACTGTGCAGGGTGCACACACACAGACGCGTGTGCGCGCGCATATACAACTAAACAAATGAGTCACACAAACAACCCACGGGCACACACCGACACACCTTCTCCAGATTCTTGCATTCTTCTCTCTCCAGGAACCTTGTGGTTCAAGCAATCTCCATGCATCATGCATCATCCGTCCATCTTCCACCTCCCGCACACCACCCGCCGCCCCCGCGCGCGCCCCACCCCTGCCGGGAGAAAGGGGAGTTTGGGACGGCGACAGGCGAGACACCTCGCACTCCATGTGCGAGAACGCAGCGAGGAATTAAAGCAGACTTTTTGTCCGTGGGCGGGGACGTGTTCGCCGGACACGAGAGACAGCAGAGCACGGAGCACCGACCACCTCTCACATCTTCATTCAAACCGCGGTCACATCCGCGATCATCGTACAACGGGTCAGAGGACTGGAAGCGATCACACGTCACTCTGCTGGTTTGTGGCGGTGGCGCGCTCGACGATGTAGGCCTCTGCCAAGATGGGCTCCCACTTGGGCACCTCGTGGGGGACCACCTGCCTTGGGTCGATGTTCGCATCCACATTGCAGTTAAAGAAGAAGGCGATGGACGTGCGCGAGGCCTCTGCCGTGGCGGGTTTGAGCAATCGGTGGGGAGAGGAGCGGAAGTGGCCGTTGGTCCACCGTTGGAGCATGTCGCCGACGTTGACGAGGAGGGTGTCGCTGCCCGCACGGTTGGCGGGCAGCCATGCGCCGTCTGCGGCGCACACCTCGAGCCCTCCGACCTCATCCTGGGTCAGGAGGGTGAGCGCTCCCCAGTCGCAGTGGGCGCCGAGGCCGATAGCCTCCGCATAGCGTGCGTCCTCCACTGGCGGGTAGTAGAGCAGGCGCAGCTTGGTCATCGGGTCACTCGTGTCGCGGAGGAAGAAGTCGGGTGGCTTGCCAAGCGCGATCGCCCAGCCGCGCATGAGAGCCACCGACACGCGCCAGCACTCGTCGTGATACTGTACCAGCGGGTCACGAAAGTACGCGCCGAGGCTCGTCGGCCACAGGGCTGCGAGCTCGCCGGGCTTTGCGCCCGGCGGCAGCTGTGAGGTCGCTGGTCGACCGAGGATGTACGACTCCTTGAGATCACCCATTGTCTGCTCGCCATCAATGCCCTCGCCGAGGCGGCTCTCGTCAAGCTTCTGCGCACCGCTGGGCTCCCATCCCGTTCCCTCGCCAGCATCTGGATCGGCTCGCACAAGCAGCTTGTGCTCCAGCGGAAGATGGAAAAAGTCGCCACACGCACGCATGGCGCCAGAAATGCAGGATGGCGCGATGCCGTGCCCCGAGATGTGGAAAAAGCCATATTCACGGCTGGCAGAATCGAGGCTGCGAGCGGTCGTCTCTTCGTGGGCCGACGCCACAGCTGATGCACTGGCGCTTCCCGACACGAGCGGCTCGATGTCGATCACCGGCAGCGCACGCTTCGCACTGCTCATGCGTCTGCCGGGCAGCGTGCTGCACATTCGGCCGAGAAGCCGTCCTCGCATGTTCGCCTTGTGGGCGTGATGGTGGCTCGGCGCCGATGAAGTACGCGCTCGCGAGTGGCTGTCTCGTGTGTCTCTGTCGCGAAGCGATCGAGGCTCTGCCGACAACTGTACCCCTCTGCACCCCAGAAACCTCGATAGGCGAGTCAGTCATTGGACTTGCTGTTGTTGTTCGTGTAAAACCAGCCGAAAAAGGGAATGTACGTAAGAGCTACATACACTGAAAAACCACAGGGCTGGTCCCTTTGTTTTTTGCAAACTCGCGCCGGGTCGTTCGTCCTCGAGGAGCTCCTTCGATTCTGGCGAGTAGAGGCCCCGCCCACCCAGGGTACCCCTCGCCGGGGCTCTGCTCCAAGAGACCTCGGGAGTGCGAGCGGTGCCTCTACTCGCCAGCAAAGATTGCCTGTCGTGCGAAAAAAGAAATATCGCGTCCTCGCGCCGTCCGCCAGCGGTCGTCCTCGAGGAGCTCTGGTCGCAGCGATCGCAGCTGAGAGATCTGCCGCGTCTCCCGCATATCGATCGCAGCCAACATGGCTCTCCAGGCGCTCTGCGGGCTTGTGTCTGCACTTCCAGCTCCGCTTCCTGCCGTTGCCGAGCCCTTGTGGCAAGCCGCCAGGGACGCTGAGACTGAGATGGACCACGACCATCAGAATGCGCGCATCACGAAGTTTGCAAAGGACCATCAGTACATTGCCGACAGCATGCAGAACGACCCGGACCTTCATGCCCTCTGGATGAACGGCGTGGCAGCGGTAGCAGACAGCTGGCAGGCCGAGCGTTCAGCCACCGACACGGTGTCCGACGAGACGGCGGACGCCTCCTCCAAGGTGGTGCCAGGTCCCATCAAGGCGATAGCCGCGTCGACGGTACACCTCCTTTTTAAGACGCCCGAGGCCTTCGCCTGGGAGCGGGCGCAAGCGTCGGCAATGTCAGTCGCGCAGGCTCTCAAGATCGGCGACCTGGAATACGCCGGCCCCCTCCCTGTCCGCTGGCGGCACCACAGCCTGCCTCGCGAGGAGGGTGTGGTGCTCAAGCTGACGGCGGCAATACCGGACGCGCCGCCACCGGAAGGCTCGGACGGCTACCCCGTGATCGTCTTTCCAAACGCCTTCTCTCTCACAGTCTTCATGTTCTCGTTCAAGCAGCACGAGTGGGCGACCAAGGGCTTCATCGGTGTCTCATACCTCTCGAGGGGGTGGTACGAGGCGGGCGGGTACCCCGACATGGGCGGCCCGCTCGACATGGATGACGCCTCCGCCGTCATCGACATGGTGGAGGCGCACGCTTCCGAGTGGGGCGCCGACCCCAGCGCTCTCGCCTTTGCCGGGCTCAGCTACAGCGCGGGGCTCGCCGTCCTCGCCGCGGCGCACGACGCGCGAATCAAGGCGGTCGCCAGCCTCTGCGGCTGGGGCAACCTGACCAACGTCGTCGACCCGCAGGGCGCGCCAAATCGCTTTTACATCGAGGGGATCAAGCTGCTCGCGGACATTGGTGCTTCGCGCCTGCCGGCGGAGCAGATCGAGCTGCTGGACATCTCCATCCACCATGCCAGGTCGAGGGAGGACTGGAACAGGGACGCGCCCCGACTCATGAGCTACGTCGACCAGCGGTCGATCGAGCGCTTCCCAAAAAAGCTCTGCCGAAGAGGCACGCCCGTCTTCCTCGCTCTCAACGCCGACGATGGGCTGCTAACCTCGGACGCAGGACTGCAGACTCGGCAGTTCCTCCACGGCGCCGGATGCCGCGTCTTCACCATGGTGGACGAGGGCGAGCACGCCTTCTCCGCCTTCCCGAACCTGATGATCCCGTCGACGATGCTCACGGCGTTCCCCGTCAACGAGTGGCTGATCAAGGGGATGGGCTACCGGCAGCCGCTGTGGCAGCGCACGTTCGACTTCTTTGACACCTTCCTTCGCGGCGCGCATGGCCGATTCGAGGAGGTGGCGCCCATCCAGTTCCAGCTTCGCTCTTCAAAGACGGGCGTGGGCATGTACTTTGCGGAGCCAACCTACCTCGGCTTCGAGGAGTGGCCGCCAAGGCGGTCGGTGGTCACGCCCACGGCCTTCGCGATGACCGACTCGGGCGGGCTCATCGGCAGCGTCGAGGGCTTCGCTCATCGGCAGCGCGCCCCCGGCCTGTGCGACACCTCGATCGCCTTTGGGACCGCGTCAGGCATCAACCCCGGGGTGCCAATCCTCGGCACGGTGCTCAAGACCACCGGCGGCGTCCAGTCCCGCACCTTCCTCGACAAGGTGAACCGGACGGCGGCGGCCATCTACCGCACGCCACCGCTCGAGCGCGGCGCCACCATCTGCGGGCTGCCGAACGCGAGCCTGTCCGTGCTCCCTTCGCGCGCCGGGCGCCCCCCCCACTCCCCGGGCGACCCTCCAGAGAGCTTGCCGCGTTTCCAGGTCCACACAGTGCTGTTTGACATCGAGGAGGACGGGAACAGCGCCAAGCTGCTCACGTCTGGCGTGCGCAACGTCTGGATGCCCGGCGTCGCAGGCCTGAATGGCGGCTGGGCGGGCCCTGGCACCGAGCTCACGGTGGGCATGCACGCTCTCTGCGTCGAGGTGCCCGCCGGTCATGCGATCGGCTTGGGCGTCGACCTGTTCAACGTCTACTACACGCCCGCGAGCACGGACCCGGCCCTTCGGCTCGGCCTCTCGTGCGATGCCCGCAGTCGCCTCGCCCTGCCAGTGGTCAACAGCGGCGACGGTGCCCCTCAGACCCACACGCTTCTGTGAGAACCCCGGTGGCACCGAGGTCTCATTCGAGTGAGGGCGCATGGATTGTGCATGACCGCATGTGCATTAGTGAGGCATGTAGGGGTCTTCCAAAAAAGGCGGGTGGGCGTGCAAGCCCCACCCGGCTGGCGGGTAGGCCTGAAGGCGTGCCGCCCTGCTTGCTCTAGGTGAAACGTCTAAAGGACGAAGATGCACGGAGGTGCGACCAACTCTGCACGACGGGCGGAGAGGACGGGCACTAGACCAGGATCCAGGAAGGACTGGGAGAGTGTGAATGGAGGGACACGTGTGGTTCAGACGTCCCCCCCCTCGACGTAGTCGAGTCACTCACATGGATAGAGAGGAAAGTGTCCCTCTCGATGGGGCATGGAACATGCACGTGGAGAGTCTGTGGCTCTCGTGGGGGGCGCGGCGCTGCTCGCGGCATGGCGCACGCGCTCATGTCTCGGCGAGGAGACTCGCTTCCCGTCTGATGGGGAGGAAGGCTCCTTGACATTCATGATCTTGTCTCGCAGCTCGAAGAAGCGCTGGGGTCTGAGCGGCTTCGTGAAGGTCGGCGAGGTTCTCGTCGCTGCGGACAAAGGGAACGCAGACGACTGGGAGAGTGTGAATGGGGTGCTTGCGCGGTCTAAGATCAGCGGGAGCCTCTTACATCGAACATCGTTGCGATGAGCTGATTGGGATCGCAGAAGTGCATGCCAAGCACCGCCACGATCTTGAAGCAGAACACATCGCAACCGCATCGTCCGCACTGCCATCGGCATGCCGCGCCCGCCGCTTCGCCGCAGCCGCCTTAAGGCACGCATAGCGGCAGTGGTACGTTGCGCGTACTTGAGCAGGCGTTGCGCGCCGCAAGTAGCGCACTGGCCCTGGGAGAAGGCGATATGGCGTCGTGCGCGGCATACGTTGGTCGGGACGCGTCCAGGTATTTTTCGGGTAAACCTGGACTTTTGCAGGTATACCCGGGTTTTACCCGGAGTTGGCCTTGGTCGTCTAAGTTCATGGCCCCCGACCCCCGACCATACAGCGTCTAAGTCTGAGCCCGGCTCCGTGCGGGGGCTAAGTTGAGCGCTCGCTCGCTGCAGAGGCTAAGTGTAGAGCGACCCTCTAGCCCTACTACCCAACCATTGTGCGGAGTGTGGTGCGTGCGGTGTGGTCTGTCAGACTGACAGTCACCGTCTGTGGACCTGTGGACGGTGCGCGCAGAATGTGGAACCGATTGAGAGGTGCCGGAGCTGCCGTGTGTGGGCACACGTTGTGTGGTGGCACGTGAGTGAGAGAGAGCCGGCGCGCGCAGCGCGCGGCACGTTTTTTCATCCAAACAACTGTGAACCGGGAAGGCCTGCGCAACCTCTATAAAGCCGTAATACGGGCTCTAACTACATCTCGAGCGCCGCGTCCTGGACGTCGAGCGCGGGGGCCGCCGAGTCGGAGGCCGGCGCCGCCTCATTGTCGACGGCGGCGGCCGCGGTCGCAGCATCTTCCGCTGCCTCTTGTGCCCGCTCGGCGATGGCGGCCGCCTTTTTGCGCGCGCGCCGGTCCCGCTGCTCGCTTGTGCGGTCGCGTTTGCCACGCTTACGCTTGTCTATGCGTTTGCGTGGTCCACGCTTCTTCTCGTAGTTGCGCTCGGCAGCCTTCTGGGCCTCGCTGCGGGCCATGGAAATCAGTGGCCCCTCTTGTGCGATGGCGGCTAGGATGGCAGCCGCCTTTTTGTGCGAACGCCGGGCCTGCTGATCGCGAGTGCGGTCGCGTTTGCCGCGATCGCGATTGTCTTTGCGCGGCAGACGCTTCTCCTGCTCGTATTTTCGCCAGGCAGCCTTCTGGGCCTCGCTGGCCATGGCTGCCCCACCGAGACCCGAAAGAAAACGTGCGCGGCTGTGCAACGAAGGACCGCTCGCAGAGGACCATTGGGTTTGTGTGAGTATGTGTGCGCGGGCGGCAGCGGTGGCGGCTCGCGGGTGGAGGTGGAGGCTGGAGGCGTGGTGGGTCTTTGAGTTTATTTCATGATGGACTACCTCTACGAGGAGTGGGGGTCAACCGGGAGGCAGGGGGTTCAACCAGGCGACGGAGGAGACCGTGGGCCATCGCGGGGACCGTTCGCCCGGAGGGCGTACTGGGCTGATCCGGATGGTCTCACCCGGTGGGTGGCACCGAGGCGTCTGGGACGCTCAGCTCTACCTTAAGCTCCTGAGGGGCGCGTGGTTGTAACCACGTAGTATGACTACAGCCCACCACAGACACCCTCCCTGCTCCACATGTGTGCACACTCCCTCACCCTCTCCTCTCTCCTCTCTCTCTCTCTCTCTCTCTCTCTCTCTCTCTCTCCTCTCTCTCCTCTTGTCTGTGCTGTCTGCCTGACTCAGGCACTCAATCTGCCGATGCGTGATTGTGTGGGCTGCTCCGAGGGGGCCCTCTGTGCGATCCGACGGGTAGGGGGGCTGTGCCCGGGCGGTGTCCGGTGTGGAGTCCCCTTCTGATCCCGCCTGGGATGTTGGGTGTGAGGTTGTGGCGGCTTCGATCCCAAGGGGGGGAGCTGATCCCACTCAATAACCAACTCTCAGGGGCAGTAGGTGGGCGAGCTTCAGGCACGCTCATCTCGATCGTCAAGACGTCGCTACGCGCGGTCTTCCGCGGGGGGAGCTGCGTCGACGGGTGCGGGACCGGGGGCGGCGCAGCCAGTGCCGCGGCGAGGCCTCCGGCTGTTTGCGGCGGGCGGCTTGCTGCTCGCTGCATGGCGAAAAACTCGTCTCGCCACACGCCAAGGGCTTATGCTCTGGCGAGACGTGAGGCGCATGCGCCCAGGAGGGGAGGGGGCATGTGTAACGACACTGCTAGAGATGCCTTTCGGGGCCCAGAGATAAAACTTCTGTGATGCCATGCGTGACCTAGTAGTGTCCCCAGCTATGGGCGTGTCCACGTTGGAGCCAGGTGTGGTGTGGGCGCGAGAATAGCTCCGCCGTTCATGGAGGCAACCGATGCGAGTCGACTGGTGTGTGTCGTCGTGGTTTCGTATCAAGAATACTCACACTCACTCACATTGGGTTTGTACTATTAACAACGAAGGCGCTCTCAAAGAAAACACGCTGGCCATGGCGGGTTTTAAAAACTCCAAAGTATGCCGAGAGCGACTAAACACGCTAGCCGCCTGCCATGGGTGCGGCGGTAAATTTCGCACACTATTCCACGTAAAACCGGAAGACGGACCTGCGGCTACGAAAGTGGCAGAAGGGGTGCGGGTGGTTAGCGCCATCCTCGAACGGACGGATCTCTGAGCGGGTGGAGGGGGAGGCGGAGGAGGGGATGAAGACGCGCCTATACCACGCCACATACAGGGACGAGGGGTTGTATGCTTCGGTTGTGCGGCCCCTGTGATCCGTGAGAAGGGGCGGCGTGGAGACAGGCTAGAGGCTAGGGGGGAGGGGGAGCTACTAGGGGGGGAGCAACCGTCGCAACGGGCGAGCACATCCCGAGCCGGGGTTACAGCTGTGGATCGACCTCCCCCGACGCGGATCTTGCCAAAAAGGGCACGAGGCACCCCGGAGAGGTTCGTGCCGGCAGCAGACAGGGTAAGACAACGACAAAACGCGATCCGAGAAGCCGAGAGGGATCAAGAGGCCGCGGCGGCGGGTGAGAGGGCAGTCCTGGCGGAACTTAGGGCAATAGGCCTGTCGCTCGCAGCCAGCACCGGCGTGCTCAGACCAGTGCAGGCACGAGAAGTGCGGGGCCTGGCTAAACGGCTGGTTGGCTCGACGGACCTTCTTGGGCAGGTGTTCCGGTGGGGGGGGGAGGACTACCTCGTCAATGACATTGCACCGGGACCGACGCTGTCGGGGAGGCAGGCGATGATGGCATACGCCTGCTGTGTGAAGAAGCGAGTGGCGTCGGCGGGCCCGCTGTCCGAACAGTGCGGGTGCCTTCGGGCAGTGCGGGTGCGGATCGAAGGGGATCGGGCGAGTGAGGAAGCGACGCGACTGATAGACAGCCTACGACCTAGCGGAGCGCGAGGGGGAGGAGAGGCGAGGCCAGCGGCGAGCCCGGGCCCTGCCCCCCTTCCTCCTCGGGGGCAAGCAAGGGCTAGATCCCCCCCCCCCGGAGCGCAGTGGACGATCGGCGCGTGGAGCCACGGCTAAAGCGGTCGCAGGGTCGTGGGGCCGCCCCGAGGCTCCACACCAAGCGTCGCGGCCGCCAGTACCACCACCGTACCCGCCCCCCCCCCACCTCCGCCTCCGCCCCCGCCGCTGGGACGACCTCGCAGGGTCAAGGGGCCGCCGCCCCCCTGAGGCCCCACGCCAGGCGTTGCGGCCACCAGTCCGCCACCGTACCCGCCCCCCCACCCACCGCCTCCGCCCCCACCGCTGGAACGGCTGCAGGGCCGAGGGGCCGCCCCTGGAGTCCCACACCAGGCGTTGTGGTCGCCAGTGCCGCCACCGTACCCGCGCCCCCCACCGCCGCCTCCGCCCCCGCTGCCGGCGTGGCCGTCACCGTACGGACCCGCACGGAACCTGGGGAATCCGCAGCCGCCCCGCCGGAGGCTGGAGCACCCGAGGGGGGGGACCGAGGGCGGGGAGGTGCCGTGGGGAGGCAGTGGGCCAGCCGACGAATCGGGAGGCCGAGACCGGAGGGCCCGGGGTGAGACCTGGAGTCAACTGGCGGAGGGGGTGAGAGTTGGGCTGTCTCGGCCTCTGCGAGTGGGGTCGGGACATACGAGCCCGCCAGGGGTAGACCCGTCGCGGCGGCAGCTGGACCACCGTGACTTACGACGAGGAGGGCCACGCCTCCCCGAGCTCGACGAGGAGCCGGCGGAGGGGGGAGGCGAGCCGAGGACGATAGAGAGACCGCGGATGCGGGCGCGATTCGTCGACCAGGGTGAGCCAGCCCGACCCTCCGGGGTGGCGCGGCGAGAGGATCCAATGCCGCCTCATTCGCCCGAGGAGACCTCGACCGGGCCGTCGACGCCCTCGGAATCGGTGGAACCGGGAGAAGCTGGCGAAGACGAAGGGCGGCAGCGGAGAAAGCGACATCAACAACGAGGGGAACGACCACACCGGTCGTCGTCGCATAACGCTCGGGAGATGAGCAAGAAAGCGAACCAAGGAGGGTCGTGGAACCCTGGGAAGACGGGGAGTGAGCCCTCTGGCGGGGGCGTCTACTCAAGTGCCTGCGCAAGTGAGTGCAGAGTGGTGGTGGTGTGGGGCGTGCAGTGTGGTGTTCATTAGCTCCGAGTAGAGGGGGCGTCCTGCAGTTAAGGGGAAACCCGGTACGGCTCTACGCGGGGCTAACCCTCGGAGACCGTGTTTACTTTACGGCCCTTTCCCTGCGAACGCGCACCCCCAAGGGCTAGGGCTCTCTAGCCCGTAACCCGATCCCGATCATCCGGCCCGCTGGGTGCGCTTCTTAGCTCCCCGGCCCTGGATGTGAGGCTAATGACTGCACTCCAAGTGCTCCAACCGGGCTAGACGCGCTCTACGCCATCATCACGTTAGATCCATATTTCATATTTGTCCGCCGCGGCGCCTGAGTGACCGCCGGGGAAGCCTACGCGGAAGGGGGAGAGCTCTAGCCTGTTACGGGCTACGGCTACAGAGGGAACCCGAACCTCCCCGTGACTTGAGTAAGGTAAGGTAAGGTAGATTTCTCCACACACACAAAGTGGTGGGGCAAGGGGGGGTGACCCTCGCATCTCCACGCCCGGACACGGGCAGGAGCCCCACGGCATTCAAAGTGCAAGCACTGGCCCGGTGCACGTGGGTGAGCAGCCTGCCCCTCCCTCCCGACAAACCAACTCCCGCACACACACAATCGCACTCTGGCCATCGAATGACTCCGAATGACTCACTGCTAAGACAGAATCTCCGCAGACATCCAAAACGGGCCGTGCCGCGTTTGTGGTGTCTTCTCAAGCACTAGCATCCGGACGCCGCACTCGAGCGGGCGGGTCACATCTATGTGGGCCCAGTGTGCGCACTAGGCGCATATGTAGGGGTCCACAGCGCCTCAAAATCCACCAGTGTGGGATTTCGCGCAATCGCTTGACTCTGAAAAGCTCGCATGTACCTCCTGCGAGCGCTGTGATCGCCGCAGACTGGCTCCGACTTGACGGCGGCAGGGAGACGTGATGCCTCCATGCCGCCGTCAAGTCAAAATCGACATGCGAGTCGATCTTTGGCCCGCCAGAGGTACATGCGGCGTTTCGGGCGACAACAGCGCTGTGACCGCGAAGTGGCGGTGGACATGCTCCCATGTTGCCGACGCGGCGCCGGAGTGGCCGGCGCTGCTCGCCGCGACCACGACGGCTACTCCGATACTCCGGGCCGACCCGTCCTACCCGACGGTGGCACTCTTCCACGTCTCGCTCACGCTGAGAAAAATTCTGAAACGTCGTGCAGCAGAGTCACCGACGAGTCGGTCCGCGTGCCTCCTCGTGTCCCGTACCGTTCTCACACATCCATAAACTCACTTTGGCCTCACTGAAGCGATGCCTGAATCCTGAATCCTCAGATTTTAGATTAGGACGCTGTGGACCCCCTAGCATATGCTAGTGCTATCCTGCCCTATGGGAGGCAGAGGGAGGGGGGAGGGGGGGGCAGAGGTAAGGTGGGGTGAGACTGGGGAGGGCCTCACTTGAGTCTTGACCCTCGCACACGTGTGACCTGTGACCACGGCTTTTCGCTTTAGCTTTCCTCGTACACATGCGTACGCTCGGTAAACACAGAAAGCCTACCGCGGCCCACCGGCACCGCGCGCGGCGGCAACAAGAACAACAGCGCAACGAGATCTGACCGTACAAGCGCCGACGCCCCAAAGCCAAAGCCTGTGCTGTAGTCCGCCACACCTTCCGTATGCTCCCTGCGGGTCGACCTGCGCGTCAGACGTCCTCCTCGTCCGAAGCCGGCGCGGCGCCGTAGCTGCTGTCGCCACTGCTCTGGCGGAGCAACTTGCTCGCGGCGCGGTTGCGGCTGCTCTCTAGTGACGACTCACGCAAGCCCACCCTCTCCTCCTCGGAGAGGGCGTCGCGCAGCGGCGCCTACAGCCTCGGCCGATCTCGGGCTGACCTCCCGCTCCGGCGGCGGCGCTGAGAGGGTACTCTCTCTCTCTCTCTCTCTCTCTCTCTCTCTCTCTCTCTCTCTCTCTCTCTATGTGTGTGTGTGTGTGTGTGTGTGTGTGTGTGTGTGTGTGTTGGGTGGTTGGGTTGTCGCCTGCTGGTAGAGCGAGCCGCCGATAAGGCAGAGCAGCAGCGACGCGATGCCTACAGGGAGATCGTGGAAGATTGTGGGAGATTATGGGAGATTGACGAGGCAGAGCAGCAGCGACGCGATGCCGTACGGCGAGGCGTGCTTGTCCCAGATGAGGACGTTGACTGTCACGGTGAGCATCTTGTTGGTCACCTGCGGGAGAGAGATCAGCCGAGATCAGCCGAGATCAGCCGAGATCAGCCGAGATGAGGTCACGGTGAGCATCTTGTTGGTCACCTGCGGGAGAGAGATCAGCCGAGATCAGCCGAGATCAGCCGAGATCAGCCGAGATCAGCCGAGATGAGGTCACGGTGAGCATCTTGTTGGTCACCCCCACGACCGTATACGCGGTGGCGGTGATCAGCGACTGGCACCAGAAGCCGGACCACGAGATGCCTACAGGGAGATCGTGGGAGATTGTGGGAGATCGTGGGAGATTGACGAGGCAGAGCAGCAGCGACGCGATGCCTACAGGGAGATCGTGGGAGATTGTGGGAGATTGTGGGAGATTGACGAAAGCCGGACCACGAGATACCTATCCCGACCAGGCAGGAGAGCAGCAGCCAGCTGCCGCCGACCGGAGACAGCTCGATCGCCTCGAGTCGCGCGCGCGTGAACTCGCCGCTTGCCACGCCCACGAGCAGGGTGGGCAGGATCGAGAGCGAGTTCGTGTATAGCACCGGCGTCCACAGCGACCTATCTCGGGCGATCTCGGGCGATCTCGGCCGATCTCGTGCGATCTCGTGCGATCTCGTGCGATCTCGGCCGAGCTCGGCCGATCTCGTCCACCGGAGCGGGATGCAATCTCGTGTGATCTCGGGTGATCTCGTGCGATCTCGTCCGATCTCGTCCACCGGAGCGGGATGCAATCTCGTGTGATCTCGTGTGATCTCGTGCGATCTCGTCCGATCTCGTCCACCGGAGCGGGATGCAATCTCGTGTGATCTCGTGTGATCTCGTGTGATCTCGTCCGATCTCGTCCACCGGAGCGGGATGCCCGTCACCAGGAACTTTCCGTAGGTGAGCTGAAAGACGAGCACGGCCCACCAGACCTGAGGTGAGTGTACGGGAGGGTGGGTTCGGGTAACGTGGGGGTAGGGGAGGGGTGGGTTCGGGTACCGTGGGGTAGGGGAGGGTGGGTTCGGGTACCGTGGGGTAGGGGAGGGTGGGTTCGGGTACCGTGGGGTAGGGGAGGGGTGGGTTCGTGTACCATGGGTTGGGGGAGAGGGGCGCTAGGTCGGCCTGCGGTGTGAGTAAGGGAAGGGAAGGGGTGGTACACTTCCCCCCCCACACACACACGAAGTGGTGGCGCAAGGGGGGCAAGCAGCCCCTCGCATCTCCACACGGTGGCGCAAGGGGGGCAAGCAGCCCCTCGCATCTCCACACGGGCCGGGGGAGCCGGCACGGAGCATCCAAAGTGCAAGGCCCTGTGCTGCGTCGCACAGACGCCTGTCGCGCCACCACGCGCCTCCCCGCCTCTTCGCCTCTCGAGCCAACCTCGCTGGCATCTACCCCACCAGAACCGACGCCCAAAAGTAGGCGCGCACACCCTTGACGCGGAACTCGCGGTCGCAGGCGATGTACGCCACTGCACCGGCGGTGATCAGCAGCAGCGCGGCGCAGGAGCGGGCCGACGGCACGGCGCGCCGGTAGATGAAGTGGTCAAAGATGCAGACCTGCTCGGGCGATCTCGTGTGATCTCGGGCGATCTCGTGTGATCTCGTGCGATCTCGTGCGATCTCGTGCGATCTCGTGATCTGAGACCGCGAGCGGCGTGCACGAGCGGAACACGATGACCGTCTCGACGTTGGCATCCTGAGGAGGTGGCAACGAGGACAACAACAACAAGAATCAGAAGAAGAAGACTGATAGGACGGCGGCAGTCTCACGTTGGCGTTTTCGAGGGAGACGCAGGGATATCGAGTGTCTGCAAAGGCACTCTCACGTTCGCACGAGATCTGGTATGCCAGAGGTCTAGCCGAGGTGTGGCCGAGATCTAGCCGAGGTGTGGCCGAGGTCTAGCCGAGGTGTGGCCGAGATCTAGCCGAGGTGTGGCCGAGATCTAGCCGAGGTGTGGCCGAGATCTAGCCGAGGTGTGGCCGAGGTGTGGCCGAGATCTAGCCGAGGTGTGGCCGAGATCTAGCCGAGGTGTGGCCGAGGTGTGGCGGAGGTGTGGCTGGGGTCTGTAGTAGCCGAGGTCTGGCCGGAGGAGCGCGTACTCACGCGCCTGCAGCACTTTGATGTTTGTCCACGTGCCGATCGAGAAGGACAGGACGTAGATCAGAAAGTACTTGACCTTCCTCCACTCGAAGTCGTCCGTCCTCAGCAGACCTGCGCACATGCCGAGGTCAGCGCAGGATTGTGTCATGAACACGCGAGGTTAGGGCAGGAATGCGGCGTGAACATCTCAGGGCGGGAGTACGGTCTTGTGCAGTGTATTCAGAGCACCGCGTGAGTACGAGGCCCTACGAACACAGTGAAGACGCAGCCGGATACGGCCGGATACAGCTGAATGCGTGTCCTCTCGAGCGCTGCTTGGGAGGCAAGAACACGTCTTCCCGCTTCTAGGGCAGCTGGCCGGTAAGCTTGCCGCCGTACACGAGCACGGTGCACGAGGCGAACTATCGCCGGGGGAGAGGAGATTGCAGCTCAGCGCCCTCCGCTAGTCAGGAGCACGTCGGCATCCGGGGGCGGAAGGAATCTCTCCGTGGGAGAGATTCCCGTGTCGCGACAAGATCCGGCGGAGGAGGTGTGTGGCGAGGGGCGAGGTGACTTACTCTCATGGGCAGCGGCATGGGCGCGGCGTGTGCGCCGTCGCGGTTCGACGGCCCAGCGCGGATGGGAACTGCGCGAGGTCTAAGGGGCGTCTCGGGAACGCTGGGGAGGTATGAACGGCAGGCACCTGGCAGAGCGTGACCAGCGCCGGCGACGGCGTGTGCGACACGGCGATCTGCGAGAGCAGGCCGAGGAGCAGAGGGTGAGAGCGCGTGCGTGTGTGCCTCGGAGACGGAGCGGGAATCCAGCGCGCGGGATGACCAAGAGGAGGCAGGCTGGCGCGGCTGCAGCGAAGCACGCGAGGTGCATGCGCGTGGAGCCAGAACATATGGCGCTGCTCTATCAGTCGGACGGCAAGAGCGGGCGGTGGTGGCCTTGTTGATGACAAGCATCCCGCCCGAGCAAAAGCAGTACGTGATCACGGCCGCGGCCACTTCAGCGGCGTCCTCCTGCTTCTCTCGCATCAGGGAGTTCGGTCGGTGGCCGACGTGGGGGTACCCGGTATTGACGCTATTCTGACTCGCGAAAGAAATCTGACTTTCACGCCGAATTTGTAACAAGCGCTGCGCCGGCGCCGCGCCACAGCTTGCCGAGCGCCGGCCACAGGCCTGCCTGCAGCCCAGCCACACCCGCCGCGGCGGCAGCTAGTCGGTTCGGCCTTGACTCGCGCGCGCCGAGATGGGAGCCCAAGTATGTGAGCGCGCGGCGCGTCGACACGCCTCCGCTTTTGTAACAAAGTCTGCTTGGCTTGTGCAGGTGATGCCCAGAGCTGCAGCGGCGACGCCGGCAGCCTCGTCTCGACCTCAGAGGCTGCCGGCGTGACCATAGATCTGTGCTCTATCCGTCGGTGGTTCACCGTACACGCCTGTGTAGGAGCGGCTCTCGCGTCGCTACGCGCCGCCGAAGGCTGTCTATGAGGGCACACCCGAGGAGGCGCGGATCTCAACCTGCGTGCGGCGGTGACCAGGTCACAGGCATCGGCTGTGACACTGGAGAGTCGAGCAGCGGCACTGAGGATGCCTTTCAGGTCATTCCAGCGACCCACGGAGCACGGTCTCAGTGCGCAATCACTCTACTAGATCCCATCCTTGCCGGGCCTCTGCGAATGTAGGTACCGAGTTCATGCGTGCCCAGTTACAGGCTCATACTGCCTGGTCTCCAGCACCTATGATCACCGCGCCAGGCCGCAGTCGACGACTTTTGTGTGCGCTGGCCGCACTCAACCGTTGAGTCGCGGTGTATCAGCCTGACCACACTCGGGACCGCGTAGGCGATGTGGGCGACTCTGGCCGTCCTGCATATGACCGACCATGACCCAGGAGGAGTCTACACGAGACATGTCGTACCTGGCAGGCGCTCTCGCGGCAGCACTATCGCGTGCGGCCGAGTGCGAGCTTCCGTGCCCGGTGCCAGACGCACTCGGCGCCAGACGTCCTCGGGAGCTCGCAGTTTTGCCACGGCAGTTGCGATCCGGGCGATCAGAGAGCGCCGGCAGCTCAGGGGATCTTGTCTGCTCACCTGAGGTCGGGAGGGTAGCAGCGGCGAGGCCATACGCCAGCGTGAGCCATCCGTATTAACGGTTGTTACAGATTAGTCAGATTTGCCGTGACCGCGTTCCGAGGTCACGATTTCGGCGTTCTCGTGTTGACCACTGTGGGTGTGCCTGGCACTTCTGGATCATGTCTCTCGGTGTCCTAGCACCCCCAGGCGATGGGTTTCACGGCCCCGTACCGCATGGGGCGCAAGGCCTCGCGCCGCGCGTGTGGTTCAAACTTTGTTACAACCCAGTCAGAATAGCGTCAATTAGGGGTAAGCGCGATGGGGGCTCTAAGGGGGGCGCCCAGTAGGGCGCCGGCACCCCAGCGTAGAGGGCCTCGTGTAGCCCTCCTTTTGGTATAACAAAAATACTCGGCACAGAGCTCAGGCTCGCCGCGGCGTCGGAGGACGCCGCCGTCGCCTAGACTCCCCTGCGTCACTACGTACGTACGTACGTGCCTCCCTCCCCGTCCGTCTTTGTAGCCTGGCGTTTGTGCCCCGTTTGTGCCGCGTCCCGTGCCCCCGAGTTCATTTTATAAACTCGGCACAGCCACGGGACTGGCGCGCACTGGCACTAACACAGGTACACCACGGGAGCCGCCTAAGCGACTCCCGCGAGGACGGCGAGGCACCTAGCTCCGTGCACTCGACCGCCCTCGCCGCAGGCAAGCTCATTCACAATCTGCTCTGCGATGGCCGTGTGAAGAACGACTGAGATGCGCTGCTTCTGCAGCCCCAGCCAGCTCTTGGTGTATGTCTATTGTTGGCAAAACAAGACACAGAGCTCACACAGAATCTTGGTTGGTGGTCCAAGTCACCTCATCGAGGTACTGGGCCCGCGTCAGCTTGTTCTTAGACTCCCACTCCCTCACACGACACTGGGCACGGGACTGGCGCGCACTGGCACGAAACCATCATTTTGAGAGAAGCGGAAAAATTATCAATTCCCGAGGGACGCGCGAGTTTGTGCTAGCGCGCCGCCCGTCCGGCCGCGTCTCAGGATGGCGACGCACGACTTGGCGCACTTTCGGGTGATGAAGCGGCACCGCTGGCGTGGTTCCTACCCGCGCATGCTGCGCATCTCCACGGGCTGCGTCTCAACGGCGACGACGGATGCGGTGCACACCATAACAAACACGTGCGTCTATGCAGCGCACGCCTGGCCAGGATCCGGACGGCCCTCTCCCCATCGATTCCCGCTGCGCACTGATCAGGTGGCAGCATGATCAGATTGATGTCATCGAGGCGAGCGGGCGGGGCAAGGACTTCTGGGTGGTCCTCTCTCCTCTCTGCGGCTGCGGGCCGCGTGCGTCCATTTCCTTTGTGGCGGGGAGCACAGAGGTTGCTGGCCCGTGTAAACGCGCGGCGGTCTTCCGCAAGCACAGAGGGGCTCGCCTGCTCTCGCCATAGGAGATGGGGGCGCTGTTGAGCGCCTTCCGCGCGGCGGGGCTCGAGGTGACGGGCCTTGCGCGTCAGCGGAGAGTGCAACCCCGGCGGCTGGACGACATGCATGTGCTTGAGAAGCAAGACCTTCACCTCTACACGCTGCCCACGCCAAAGCCGTCGCCCACGGGGCGGCTCGGCAGCAAGTGGGCGAGGGCGCCCGGTGGCGGCGGAGAGCGCGACGGCTCGCCGCCGCCGCACGCCCCCCTGCTAACCATTCCATCTATGAGTGACATTGCGGCGTCGGGCAGGTCGGAAATTCTGCCGCATGGACCCCAACCTTGATGCCACCCTGCTTCAGCTCCCTTCCTGGCCTCCTGCAGACTCGAGATGCTGCCGCACCACCTGCAGCCGTCGGAGCTCATCCGAGCCACCCTGCTCCATGAGAAGGTGCTTGAGCCGCGCCGTGCTCAGAGTCGCCTTCTCTTCCCCCTTCGGCTGGCCTCGCTGACGCAAGCTAGCGCCCCATGGTCTCTCCCAGGTCGGCATCTTCTCGCCAACCACGCGGCTGGACATGCGAGCGGACTTTGACGACGGGCGACACTGCTTCACCGCGCTGCTGCAAGGGAGGTCGGTGGAAATCTATCTCCCGCACGCGAGCCCAGGCGCGCCCATGGGCAGGGTCGAGCGCGACACCAGCGGGAGGAGCCGCGTGATTGCATGCGCCGACGAGGCCGAAGGCGAGCGGTGCCTGCTCGAGGTGGTGTGGCTCGAGGAGCCGGAAGGGGAAGGCCCGCAGATACTGAAGCGCAACTCGCCTGGACTCAACGCTCAGCCAGGAGCTCCCACACGCGCTGCCGCGAGCCATGGCGCATGCAACGCGTCTGAATGCTCGCCTCGCCTCGTGCAAATGCGACCGTCCTCGCAGCCGACAGTCCACCGCCTGCTAGAGAAGCACAGCGACGAATGCGGCACCGCCACCGGCGACGTATGGCAGGCTGGTCATGACGCAGTTATAGGGTGTTGTGTGCCGTCAGAGTGACTCTCTCTGTGTCAGGGATAGTCAGGGCTGTCCATCAGAGCTCCAGTAAGCTCGGAGACACCCCATTAGCGCGGCTCGACCTCTTTGAGTCACTGCCTTCCCGGCGGTTTGGCTGTAGAGCCTCTACAACAAACTCTATAGCAAAATCGCGCTCTACATCGCTCTACAACGCACGCAGTTCGTCACGCGGAGGATGTTAGAGCTCTACAACTCTACAGCGCTCCAGAGCGCTCTACATCTCTACAGCTCTCTACAGCGCTCTACACTCTACATCCTCTACACCCTCCCTCAGCAACGCTCCGAGCCCCACCGCTGCACCTCCCTCCGAGCCGGCCAAGGCTATCTATCCATATCCATATCCAGCGCGTTCCTAGAGGTGAACGCTAGGGCCGTAGCACAGCCCGCCCGGCTTCCCTTGGACCACGATAGCAGTCCAGCGGCAGCAGCGCGTCAAATTTGCATTTTCCGTTTTTGCGCTGACGGTTCTAGGGTGTCGTACAAGATGGACATGCAAATTTGTCGAAGCGCATGTCGGCGTAGCCCGGAGCGACGAAAGCCTCAGAGCTCCAACTTGCACTTGGGGTCAGGGAACTCGCCGCTCTCTCTCGTGTTGCACCGCTGCGTGATGTGATACCTACATGGTCGCACGGACGCACGGGCGCTTATCATGGTTAGGACGAGACCTTCTGAACTGTGATGATGCGGTGCTAGGCGTGCGCGGTGGTGATGCGGCGGGTGTCCACAAGCATCTACCCAGCTGCGCACAGCTGCATGTGGATGGACTCGACGCCGCTGAGGTCGAGGTCTTGGGCGTCGCCGGTGGCCTCGTTGCGCACCGAGAGCGACCACGAGGCGTAGAGGGGCGGCGGGTTGAAGGGACTGACGGGATGCTTTGCAAACTCTGGCGGCGTGGCGAAGTACTCCTCGAGGCGGCCGTCCGCGAGCTTGGTGTTGCGGAGGCACCACTTCGCGGGGCAGGTGCCTGGTGGGAGGTACGGCTGATTGTACTCGTCGCAAAGGAATGAGAACCTGTTGAAGACGTCGACACGCGGTTTCAGGCCTCTCTTGCAGGCCTCATCCTCGCCAGGGAAATAGTCGACATTTTCGAGCTGGACCACAAACTTTGACGGCGCCGCAAACTCCACATCCGTAAATCGCATTCCTCCGTCGACCAATTCGCGGTTTCGGAAGCGCTGCACAAAATTGCTGGAAGGCTGAAGCTGCGGGAGGACATACTGGCCCTGGCTGGCGGTGATTCGCGTGTCGCCGGGGCTGTTGAAGTACACCAACGCGCCGCGTAGAAAGAGGCCGCACGCGCCTGACATGTCGGCAGGGAAGGAGTCCTGGTCGAGGCGGAACGTGAGCTTGCCGTACGTGTCAGAGTTGGGGTCCTTGAAGGCTTGCCAGGCGGCGCTCGTCGCGAACGGCGTCTTGGGGAAGTCGGTCCCGTCGGCGGGCACCTCAGCCGTGGTAACCTCCTCGAGCCGGCAGCAGGCGAAGCCGGTGTC